GCTGTCATGAATTTCTATTGGCTAATGTTACACAGATCAGTGCAAATGAATCAGCATACCAGGTCATAAGCTGCATGCTTGACTAACACAGCCTTACCTCCAATTATGTTGCTACATGAAACAGCCATCATCACCACACAGGGGGGTAATTGCTTTTATTCTGCCACCAGCTAAAACACCTTTCTGTCATTTCGTAGAGGTTTATTGTCGCTGCTGATGCTTTTTTCTGTTTGCTTATCTATAACATGTCAAACTAGAGTCACATTCATCACAATAATGTCACTTCTGACATGAGGTCAGCTGTGAGTACGGTGCTGCACCCTTCCATCAGCATGGGGCAGCCCTGCCGAGCCGGGCTGTGCCGAGCTGCTTCCGGTTGTAGGTGAATTTCCCTTATTTTATTATTCCTCAGTCGATCCTCACTTGACCCGGAAGTCGTTCTGGTCCGCCATGATGAAGGACATCTCAAAGCTCATACTGCTGCTCTGAGGACCAAGGAGGCTTCCTGGAGGAGGTATAACTAAGGAAACAAGTGCATCCTTACTGATTGACTTGCCCCTTTGTCGGAAATCAGCTGGTGATTGGACACTTCACATGAAGGCTCAAGAAACGGACATCCCATGTCAGTTAATATGTTTCCTTCGTTCCCCTCTCCTCACAGTTTGTCCACCGTGGGAGTCAGACGACCTCTGTCTCTTTTGAGGTCATTCTCAGTAATATTTCCATACCTGGTCGGCTGCGCCCATTCTTGTTACAGTATTCTGTTTGGATGTTGCTGTAAAAGCATGTCTGCTCAGCCAAAAACGCCCCTGCTTAGAGAAACATCTCTAAATCTAGAGAGACTTTAAGAAGCTTTTGAGTTGGGAGATTGCAATTTCTCTCAGGCACCTTAGAGGAGAATGGGTTTCCGAGAGCTCGCACCAATTTTAATTGCAGCTTTTGTTTACACGCTTCAATTTTTATTTTTACTTTGTGACATTTTGCTTTGTTTTATTTTTGAAAACCTCTCATTTCATGTGTAATTGTCTGTCTAGTTTTTTGTGGAATGCATTAGTGCCTGTCAAGGCTGTTTTGTTTTTAACCACAGAGTAAGTTAAGAAAAGTCATTTTATAAACCACCATGATTTAAATGATTCAACTTCCTACTGTTTTTCTGGAGCATGTGTCGTTACTGATTTTATGGCTTGGAGCTTTGTTTCACCTACATATAGTCAGTAATTAACAGACATGTTGGCACTGAAAGGTTTTTATATTTTATTATGTCTGATGTACCGCAGCTCCATCACAGCTCAGGGATCCCTTCGTCGACACCACTGATCATGTTGCGTATTTCAGTTGATTTTAATTGTGTGTTATTTAATGTTATTCATTACATAAGGGTGGCTATAATTGCAGTGATAGGTAGTAGGTTATTTGGTCAGGTTTGTAATTGCACTGCTCCCACTTTTAGTGATCCAGTTCAACCATTTATCTATTACTTCTTCAACCATCTATACAGTACTTTTAGCTAATCCAGCTAAACTGCAGCATATACAGTGCTGTGCATGAGTCTTAGGCCACTAAGAGATTTGTTGTTTTACAGCCCCAAATCAGAAAAAGTTATCAGAACACAACTAGAAAAAATAGGAAATATATATGTATAAAAAAAAACACCAAAATGCCAGAAGAAGCCTGCAAACAAAGCTGTTTTAAAGAAATTTGAAGAATCTGGAGCAGTCGAGGACAAAAACAGGAGTGGAAGAGAATCTGATGAGATGCTTCTCAGTCTCCAGAGGAAATTCTGCCAAGACCTGGCTTAGCACCTGGCAGCTTCACCTGGATGCCAGGTTGATCCTTCCACACTGAAGCCTGATCAGGAATGGAAGGACAGCAGGCAAGGAACCGCTTTTTCAAAAGGGGGACAGTGAGAAAGGCTGAGAAAAGCTCAGAAGATCAGTGGGAAAGAGCATTATGGAGTGATGAATCGAAATGTTCAGGTCCAATTGTCAACACTGTGACAAGAAGAGTTGGAGAGAGGTGGAAGAACGAGTGTAGCAGCTTTCAGCGAAGCATGGTGGAAGCTCTGTCATGGTTTCAAGACCTCATGATGGTCTCCCCCAAAGAATTCAAGCTGTGCAAAGAACCCACTGTAAATACTGTACATGTTTCCTGTATTTTCTGGTTAGATCTTACTCAAGAGAATGAAATAAATATAAATAATCATCACAACCACCAACCAATCCTGCTTGGGAATCACTGCACCACATATTAAAAACTGTTTTATTAAGAGTGTGAACACTTTTAAAAGCATTGACTTTTTTATGGCTTGTATGTATAAGTATCATAAGTAATTCCAATGCTGTACATTAGTTTTATTACCATTATAGTCTACAGCTTATATGACTCTGACACCTTTCTGAGCAGTTAATAGAATAGATGAAGGGTAAAATGCACCAGTG